TCTAATGTCTATGTGGCAGTCACTGTAACGGTATCTAATGTCTATGTGACAGTCACTGTAACGGTGTCTAATGTCTATGTGGCAGTCACTGTAACGGTATCTAATGTCTATGTGACAGTCACTGTAACGGTGTCTAATGTCTATGTGACAGTCACTGTAACGGTGTCTAATGTCTATGTGACAGTCACTGTAACGGTGTCTAATGTCTATGTGACAGTCACTGTAACGGTGTCTAATGTCTATGTGATCAGCAGGCACTGGAGCGGCTGTGGTGATGTACTTGGAGCGTGTTGGTGACCACGTAAATTTAAAAGAACACAACGCACACGGATTGAACGTAGAACATTAAAGTGTAGTTTTACGTAATGTCGTTAATCGCGTCGGCACGCACAGAGCCGCCCGTCGATTCTCGACGGTGACTCGAAGTGCTTATTTGAAGGGCTGCCCCCCCCTCAATCCCCTCGCTGCCCCCCCCTGCCCCCATGCAAACCTCACGAGGCGATTCCCTTTTCAAGCTGCCCCTCCACCACCAATCGCCGCCACCGCCGATGGAGCGTCTGGGCCATTCATTTATTTACTTACACTGCGGGTTGCTGGTGCCTGCCTCCCCGTTCTAACGCCTCCTCGTCCTCCCTCCTCCTTCTCCTCTTCTTTCTGCTCCTCCTACGTCCTTCGTTTGCCGCGGGGGGAATAACGCCTCGGCTCTTTCGTGTTTTATTTTTTTTTCATTTCCCCCCACCCACCGGCGATTCAAAGATGCGAGAACTCGGGACAGGCAAGGCAGGCAGGCAAGGCAGGCAGACAAGGCAGACAGGGCAGGCAGACAGGGCAGGCAGACAAGGCAGGCAGGGTAGGCAGGCCAGGCAGACAGGGCAGGCAGACAAGGCAGACAGGGCAGGCAGACAGGGCAGGCAGACAGGGCAGGCAGACAAGGCAGGCAGGGTAGGCAGGTCAGGCAGACAGGGCAGGCAGACAGGGCAGGCAGGCAGGCAGGGCAGGCAGGGCAGGCAGACAGGGCAGGCAGACAAGGCAGGCAGGGTAGGCAGGCCAGGCAGACAGGGCAGGCAGACAGGGCAGGCAGGCAGGCAGGGCAGGCAGGGCAGGCAGACAGGGCAGGCAGACAAGGCAGGCAGGGTAGGCAGGCCAGGCAGACAGGGCAGGCAGACAGGGCAGGCAGACAGGGCAGGCAGGCAGGGCAGGCAGGCAAGGCAGGCAGGCTGGCAAGGCAAGGCAGGCCAGGAAGGCAAGGCAGACAGGGCAGGCAAGGCAGACAGGGCAGACAGGGCAGGCAGACAAGGAAGGTAGGCCAGGCAGGCAAGGCAGCAGGTGCGCTGATTTGTTACCGGCGTCTGCCGTTATGCAAGTAACACAAAATCATCCATTCGTTTCGACCGCTGTCTCTCATTCTGTCTCTCTCTCGCTCTGTCTCTCTCTCTCGCTCTGTCTCTCTCTCTCGCTCTGTCTCTCTTTCTCTTGAGAGCGTGGTGCCCATCCCCGGTGGTGGAGGTTTTTGCCGCCTGTCAGGGTGACGTTTGTACGCGGAGATCGCTCAGCGATCGGAGAGCGAGGGAACCCCCCCCACCGAGCCCACCCTCTCTAAGCCGCGAGCTGCCCAGCCACTCAGCGAATCTCTCCTCAGCCTCACCCACAGCTTCACCAGAAACCCTCACCACGGGGTCACCCAAACCCTCACCCACGGGGTCACCCAAACCCTCACCCACGGGGTCACCAAAAACCCTCACCCACGGGGTCACTCAAACCCTCACCCACAGCTCCGCCAAAAACCCTCACCCACGGGGTCACCCAAACCCTCACCCACGGAGTCACCCAAACCCTCACCCACGGAGTCACCCAAACCCTCACTCACAGCTCCGCCAAAAACCCTCACCCACAGCTTCACCAGAAACCCTCACCACGGGGTCACCCAAACCCTCACCCACGGGGTCACCAAAAACCCTCACCCACGGGGTCACCCAAACCCTCACCCACAGCTCCGCCAAAAACCCTCACCCCTCACCCACAGGCCCACCCTCACCCCCCGCAAGGACCCCCATGCTTTGGTGCTTCCGTTGCGCTCGTCCCCCCGCTCGTCCCTCCGCTCGTCCCTCGGCTCGTCCCTCCGCTCGTCCCTCCGCTCGTCCCTCCGTTCGTCCCTCCGCTCGTCCCTCCGCTCGTCCCTCCGCTCGTCCCTCCGCTCGTCCCTCCGCTCGTCCCTCCGCTCGTCCCTCGGCTCGTCCCTCCGCTCGTCCCTCCGCTCGTCCCTCGGCTCGTCCCTCCGCTCGTCCCTCCGCTCGTCCCTCCGCTCGTCCCTCCGCTCGTCCCTCGGCTCGTCCCTCCGCTCGTCCCTCCGCTCGTCCCTCCGCTCGTCCCTCGGCTCGTCCCTCCGCTCGTCCCTCCGTTAGTCCCTCCGCTCGTCCCTCGACTCGTCCCTCGGCTCGTCTCTCCGCTCGTCCCTCCGCTCGTCCCTCCGCTCGTCCCTCGACTCGTCCCTCCGCTCGTCCCTCGACTCGTCCCTCTGCTCCGACTGAGCGTTCGGCGCAGCCCCGAGGACCGCCGCGCGCGTCGCCCCTGGTTACAGCGGGGGGGGGGGGGGCCGGGGGGGGGGGTAAGGGGGAGGTTACAACCGGGGGAATATCCATGAAGGGGGAGGCAGGGAAGGCATTAGCGGCGGAGGGAGCGGCGTCCGTGCGGACCCGAGATGAGGATGGAGCGGAGGAGGAGGAGGGATGGAGGCAGCAGGAGGGAGGGAGGGAGTGGGAGGGATGGAGGCAGCAGGAGGGATGGAGGCAGCAGGAGGGATGGAGGGAGTGGGAGGAGGGAGGGAGTGGGAGGAGGAGGAAGGATGGAGGGAGGGAGGATGGAGTGGAGGAGGGAGGGAGCAGGAGGGAGTGGAAGGAGGGCGGGAGGAGGGTGGAGGAGGAGGAGGAGGGATGATTGAGTGGAGGAGGGATGGAGGAGGATGGAGTGGAGGAGGGAGGGAGGATGGAGTCGAGGATGGAGGGATGGAGGGGAGGAGGGAGGATGGAGGGGAGGAGGGAGGATGGAGGGGAGGAGGGAGGGAGGATGGAGTGGAAGAGGGAGGATGGAGGGGAGGAGGGAGGGATGGAGCAGGAGGGAGTGGGAGGAGGGATGATTGAGTGGAGGAGGGAGGATGGAGTGGAAGAGGGATGGAGGAGGATGGAGTGGAGGAGGGAGGAGGGAGTGGAGGAATGATGGAGCAGGAGGAGGGAGGGAGGAAGCGGAGGAGGGAAGGAGGAGTGGACGAGGAGGGAGGGAGGAGGAGGAGGAGGCATCGGCGCTTTTTCAGCTGCGCTGGTCGCGGCCGCACGCGATGCAGACCGAGTGCCGCTCTCGGGCTGCGCGACGCTTTTTCACGGCGCTCCTCGAACCTCGCGTTGCGTTTTCTTTCGACCCAAATGCAGCAAAGGCAAGAACACGACAGGATGAAGCTGACGCGGGGGGAGAGGGGGGGGGGTGAAAGCAAATAAATAAATAAACACAACGGAGAGCGTTGCGTTTACTTGAAGCAGAGCCTCCCTGGTATTTTATTCATTTCCGTCTGTTTTATTTATTTAAGGAATAAAAACAAATATAACAATATTAACACAAGCTCGCTCGCTCGCTCGCTGCTCGCGTGTTTGTTTGTTTGTGCAGACTGGTGGAACGAATGCTGCGGCAATTTTCTCCAGCTGTCTCACCCCCCCGCCGCCGCCGCCTACCCACACTCGACACTTTACATTGAGTCCAGGTTGGCTCTGAAAGTAGGCGAGGAAGTATAACGTGGGTGGGTGGGTGCGTGGGTGCGTGGGTGGGTGCGTGGGTGCGTGGGTGGGTAGGTGCGTGGGTGCGTGTGTGGGTGGGTGCGTGCGTGGGTGGGTGCGTGCGTGGGTGGGTGCGTGGGTGCGTGGGTGGGTAGGTGCGTGGGTGCGTGTGTGGGTGGGTGGGTGCGTGGGTGCGTGGGTGGGTAGGTGCGTGGGTGCGTGTGTGGGTGGGTGCGTGGGTGCGTGCGTGGGTGGGTGCGTGCGTGGGTGGGTGGGTGCGTGCGTGGGTGGGTGCGTGGGTGCGTGCGTGGGTGGGTGGGTGCGTGCGTGTGTGCGTGCGTGGGTGCATGCGTGGGTGGGTGCGTGCGTGGGTGGGTGCGTGCGTGGGTGGGTGGGAGCGTGCGTGGGTGCGTGCGTGCGTGGGTGGGTGTGTGGGTGGGTGCATGGGAGCATGCGTGGGTGGGTGCGTGCGTGGGTGCGTGCGTGGGTAGGTGCATGGGTGCGTTTGTAATCACAGAACTTTGTCGGGTGGGGAGCGCGGTGGTTGTTTGGTGGATCGATCCGAGTCGGTCACAGGCGCGCGTGCGCGTGCGGGGAGCGGCGGTGTCGCCGTTTACGTGGGTGCCGCTGCCCCGCTAACTGCGCTTGCTGTTAGCGGTGTGGGCTGTACGGGGGGGGGGGGCGGTCAGGGGGGGGGCGGTCAGGGGGGGGGGGCAGTGGATCTTTGTCTTCGGAGTAGCGGGTTAGAGATTCCGTCGCGCTACGAACACGGCGCCCTGAGTTCGATTCCCCGCTCACGGCCTCCCAACGCCGGTGATCATTTTTCTGAACCTGTCCCGGGCCTTCCCCCCCCCCTTCCCCTCAGCACCCCCTTCCCCCCTTTAGGTCGACTCAGCCTCAAACGAGTGTCTGGTGCGCTGTGTAGTTAACATCGCCATTAGGAGAGACAAAGGCGGCCGGGCGTGGAGCTGGCCACCCACCCCCCTCGTGCGCCGTGCGGAGCCCTCTTCGGTGCTCGCGATCAGCACTTGCCCCAAGAAGCAAGCTGAGGCTACACGGGGAATCTTTGTCTTTGTGTGCGCGTCTGTGCTCGCCGACCCCGCCGCCGCCTGTTCTGTGCCGGCCTCCCCAGGGCGCTGCCGCTTGCTCGTGACCGCACTTGCCCCCAAAAAAAGTTTGCGCGAGACCACACGGGTGACCTGTGCCTTTGTGCGCGTGTGTGTCCGTGCCGGCCCGCAGCGCCCGCGCGCTTCCTACGCACGCCGGCCGACCAGGTGGGGGTGTCGGGCGGCGTGGCCTCCTTCGTGTGCCAGGCCACCGGCGACCCGCAGCCCAACATCACCTGGGCCAAGAAGGGCAAACGGTTGACATCGCAGCGCTTCGAGGTGAGCGTCGTCGTCGTCGTCACCCCCCCCCAACGCGCCACGGTGGCTCGCAGATGTTGACTACCTCGCCTGGTACGCAGGAGGTCGTGGGTTCGATCCCGACCCTGACAATGCCTGCTGTGTATTTGGAGTCTCCGTGTCTATCTCTCTCTCTCATCATCGCCATGGTGGCTAGGAGATGTTGACTACCTCACCAGGTGTACAGGAGGTCGTGGGGTCGATCCCGACCCTGACGACGCCTGCTGCTGTATATTCTGAGTTGGCGTGTCTCTCTCTCATCATCATCACGGTGGCTAGGAGATGTTGACTACCTCGCCTGGTGTGCAGGAGGTAGTGGGGTCGATCCCGACCCTGACAATGCCTGCTGTGTATTTGGAGTTAGCGTGTCTCTCTCTCATCATCATCATCATCACGGTGGCTAGGAGATGTTGACTACCTCGCCTGGTGTACAGGAGTTCGTGGGTTCGATCCCGACCCTGACGATGCCTGCTGTATATTTGGAGTTTGCGTGTCTGTTTCTCATCATCGCCACGGTGGCTAGGAGATGTTAACTACCTCGCCTGGTGTACAGGAGGTCGTGGGTTCGATCCCGACCCTGACGATGCCTGCTGTGTATTTGGAGTTTGCGTGTCTCTCTCTCATCATCATCACGGTGGCTAGGAGATGTTGACTACCTCGCCTGGTATACAGGGGGTCGTGGGGTCGATCCCGACCCTGACGATGCCTGCTGCTGTATATTTGGAGTCTCCGTCTCTCTCTCTCTCTCATCACCATCATGGTGGCTAGGAGATGTTGACTACCTCGCCTGGTGTACAGGAGGTCGTGGGTTTGATCACGACCCTGACGATGCCTGTATTATATTCGTAGTTTGCGTGTCTCTCTCTCATAATCATCACGGTGGCTAGGAGATGTTGACTACCTCGCCTGGTATACCTGAGGTCGTGGGTTTGATCACGACCCTGACGATGCCTGTATTATATTCGTAGTTTGCGTGCCTCTCTATCATCATCAACACATTCTACTGAAATCTTGACCCAATGTTTTCGTTGGCTGCAGGAATTCATAGTCTTTGGGTCTTTGGGTTAAAGTCGTTGTGTCTGTCACCACCCGAAGAAGGACGCTTGTGTTGCGCCCGAAACGTCGTGCTTTAATTTAGCTGTTTTCATTTTAATTGATTTTGTGGGTTTTTTTCACCTAAGTGACTTTACCAAAAACACCAAAAAGTATGCATCCTTGCAGTCACGAAAACTTCAAATCTAGAATCACGTAGGTAGGTTCAAAAGAAAAACATGAACAAAAAACGACGACGTTTCCATCGCATGAGGTGGAGAAACGGGGGATCTGCTTCTTCTTCGGTGGGGGAGAAGGAGGAAGAGGAGGAGGAGGAGGATGGGGGTGCCATCTCCTCGTGCAGATTATTTCAGACGTTTTTGCCGTTGTTTGGAACCCTGGCAGGTAAATCGAGGCGGTAATATCACAACAACAACAACGATTATTATGAACGGCGAGAGTTATTAGTGCCATTCCGGCCTCTCACCCTCCCCCCTCCTCCGACTCTCGCTGTGCGTGTCTTGTGCCACGCGTCGTATTTCACTTATAAATGAAACGCACGTCGGGTGACGAACCCTTTTAACACAATGCGAATTAATGAGCACTCGAATGCTTCGTGTAAACAGACCGTGGCCCCCTACGCATGCAATAATTTCTAGCTTTAACAATTTGTATTTTTTTTTACGTTTTTATTATATATTCATTTTTTTAATAGCTCTCTCTCTTTCTCTCTGTGTGTGTGTGTGTGCGGTAGTAATTTGCTGATGCGCTGCAGGTGGTGGCAGTGGTGGTGGTTCAGGATAGAGCACCGTTTGGTTTAATCACTAAACGTCACTTCACCCCGTACACCTCACCCCACCTCACCTCACCTCACTCCACCTCACTCCACCTTACTCCACCTTTCCCACCTCACCCCAGCTCACCCCACCTCACCCACCTCACCTCCCCTCACCCCACCTCACCCCACTTCACCCACCCAACCTCACTCCACCTCACCCACCTCACCCACCCACCCCACCTCACTCCACCTCACCCACCTCACCCACCTCACCCCACCTCACTCCACCTCACCCCACCCCACCCCACCTCACCCACCTCACCCACCTCACCCCACCTCACCCCACCTCACCCCACCACACTCTACCTCACCCACCTCACCTCACCCCACCTCACCCCACCCCACCACCCCTCACCTCCCCTCACCCCACCTCACCCCACCCCACCTCACCCACCCACGCCGCCTGTTCTCCGAGCGTTTCATGAGATCCCCACATCCTCGCGGCCACCTGCCGGAGCTTTGGCAAATATTCTGGAAATTATATTTAAAAAAACATGTTTCTTGATAGAACCACGCGGGGTTTTAAAGTATTTGGCTCCTGCTATACATTGCCGCGCGACTATTAAGACAACCTTCGTTGTAGCCGTCGCTTTGTGGCAGGCCGGTTCGCTTCTGAGAAAGGGGCCGTGGAAAGCTTCGTTGGGCCTTACCTGGTGACACTGCGGATGAAAACGCTTCACAACTCTCTGGCCTGTCGCCTCGTGAGGCTCCATGTTGTCGCTTTCGTCGTCGCCGCAAGTTACCGGCGAAGCGTCGCACGGTACCCGAATTGTCAACGTCGCTGTGGGTTTCTTTTGTTTTACTCTCCGACACACACGACGACCGGTTAGTGGCTGGGCCGGTGACGAACCGGCCACCTTGTTTTTTTTATTACGCGACCATCCCCCTCGCTTGCTTGGCCGCGTCGGGCGGTGGCGGCTTTGACGGCGCACGTCCATATCCACGCCGATCCAAACCCAACAGGAAACGTAAAATGCCGTCGTGATGCGGCGAGTGATTTAATTTCTTTCCGAACTGCTCTTCTTGTGCTTACCCTGTCACCACCCCCACCCTCACCACCCTCACCACCCTCACCACCTCGCCAGGTGATCGAGTTCGACGGGGGAGCGGGCTCCGTGCTGCGGGTGCAGCCCCTGCGTACGGTGCGCGACGAGGGCTCCTACGAATGCATCGCCTACAACAACCTGGGGCAGATCCCGGCCGCCGCCAAACTCACCGTGCTGCGCGGTGAGACAGTGGCACCCGCTTGCCCGCCCGCACCGCCACCGCCACCGGCAAACTCACCGTGCTGCGTGGTGAGACAGTGGCACCCGCCTGCCCACACCACCACCACCACCACCGCCGCCAAACTCACTGTGCTGCGTGGTGAGACAGTGGCACCCGCCTGCCCGCACCACCACCACCACCACCACCGCCGCCAAACTCACCGTGCTGCGTGGTGAGACAGTGGCACCCGCCTGCCCGCACCACCACCACCGGCGGGCGACCAGCGTGCGGCAGCGGTGGGGGGTGGGGGGGGCGACACACATGCACGCACACATACACACACACACACACACGCAAACACACTCAAACACACGTACACATACGCATACGCACACACGCACACGCGCACACACACGGCGGTGGAGGAGGTGGTGGTGACGGTGGCCGGGGACAGCGGAGCAAGTAGGTTTCTACACCGGGGGGGGGGGGGGGGGGTCGAGGTCGAACTCGCGACCTCCTGTATACCAGGCGAGGTAGTTAACATCTCCTAGCCACCGCGTGCGTGATGTAATTACGCTTCCAACGGCAAAGACAAACGCCTCGGCAACTCACGAACTTTTGCGTGAATTACGCGCGTTCGTATTATATTGAATTTATTTTCTTTAAATGTCCTGTTTTTATATAGACATATCTCCCGCGGATTGTTTTTAATAGCCACGAGGAGGATGATGATGACGATGACATCGATGCCATTTCCCGTCGAGACTCCCGGCCAATCTGGGATGTGTTGGCAGCTGATTCCTTTGACGGCAGTGACTCTCCTTCTTTCCCTGGGGGTGGCGAGATGCCCTTCCTGGGCGGTGTGCGAGACGTGGGCAGATGTTTATTTTTGTCGAGGGTAAATCATCGAGCACGGGACACGCGAGTTACCTGGTTTCACCGAACCCTGCGTGTTTATTAACGCTGTAACATTTTGTTTCTAGCGATTGAGAACCGAACGAAAGGGGGTGCAAGGCTGCAGTAAAAGGTTAAGAACCACTGCTATAGAGGGGGGTGGGGGGGGGCTCGCTTCCCCGCCGCCCCACCCTCTCTGTCTGTCTCTCTCTGGAGCTGCCTCTCTCGGAGGCTCCTTTCCACCAGCAGTGGAGTGAGCAAAGCAGTTGCAGGCACTGTGGCCTTTACCTCCCCGGGTTTCTCGGGGCGGGGTACGACATTGGGACTCGCCCGCGCCCTGAGTCCGTGTCTGCGTGTGGGTTTGTTTTACCGAACCGAGAGTGAACGGAAGGGGCTGCAAGACTGCGGTCGAGGCTACGACCGCCGCTCGCCGCGCCGGTGCTCACCGCGCCGGCGGCGAATCGTGAACCCGGTGGGGACACGGCGGTTGGGGATTTGGCAATCCGAACGCTTTTATTTTTTGACGACCGCGCGCTCCCGGAGCGTCGCTTCCCTTCGCGGGCTTTCCCGTGGATCGTACTGACGGCTGCCCCCCCCCCCCGTGCGCTGACGCGTAAATTCGCTTGGCTCGGTTGCCGTTCGTTTGTACGTTTGCAGGTTTCTCCGGGCCGGCTCGCCTGCTCCCGCGACGCGCTCGAAACAGCGCGTGCGATGCACAAATCCTCGCCCCCCCGATTTGCGTGAATCCTGCCATCGGCGGTGTTCGCGGGCAGCTGTCCGCGCTGTCGCGTCTGCTGGATGCACCGTAAATTTCGATTTAAAGCTTTCGTGACTGCAGGGATTCATCTTCTTGGTTCTTTCGGTAAAGTCACGTAGAAGGGAAGTAATGAAACAATAAAAATAAAACATAATAAAACAATTCTCACGACGTTTCGGCCACAACGGAAGCAGCCGTGACTTTACCGAAAGAACCAAGAAGATGGATCCACCTTGCCGCTCCCCCGCCCTAGCACAACCTCGAGATGTTTCATTCCACGCTGGGCGGTCGTAGCAGCGGGGGGGGGGGGGGGTGCTGGGCCGGGCCCCCCTTCTCGAGTGTGGCACCTAAGGTCCGGAACTCTCTTCCGCCCGCCCGCCGGCGCTCAGATTTCCTGCCAAGCACCGAACGAGTTCAGTGAAGTTGAACACGTGGGAGGCTTTGGCGACCAACACAGTATCATCCGCACCGCAGGTTGTTTTGGGTGACATGGCGTAGATGTATTAATGTGATAATTGTTTTTTTACCCTTCTATCTGGCAACAAAACTGACACCTTTTTTACAAGGAGTCATGTTTGCATAGACCACAATACCTGCAGCCATAATGCAAACAAAAAACATAACTCCGATAATGTATGCACTGTCCTTGAAGTTGATTGGTCCACACCCGAGACAGCTTTCCTTAGAGTCTAGTCTCACATGGTGTTGGACAAGATGACGCCAAAAGGCGCATAACTCAAAGACAATGCACCGGTATTGTAGGTCTATGCAAACATGACTCCTTGTAAAAAAGGTGTCAGTTTTGTTGCCAGATAGAAGGGTAAAAAAACAATTATCATATTTACTGGCAAATGAGGTTCCAATGGTGTATTAATGTGTCGTTGAACCCGCCGCCACCCGATGCAGATTGACAAATCTGTCCGTCGCCTGATGAAGCTGGTTGTAATTACTGGCGACAAACGTCATGGTGCTCAGATTGTAAATGTTGTGGCTTTGCACTGCGACAAAGCGGTGTGCTGATGTGCTGGTACCGAATTGGCATGTTCTGTTTACGGGACAAACCTCACTAATTGGCTGTGTCAGGTCGTGGCGGGTTTAACGACACGTTTATATATTTACGCGATCAAACGCAAAATAAAACATGTATTATGGAAGTTCAGGAAACTCTGCAAGACTCATTATTTTTCCTTTTAGCTTTTGCCTCATTTTGAGAGGTATATTTTATGGGTTTCTCGATTTTCAAAGGTAGGGCCACCTTCACTCAATTAAAAGTATGGGGAGCGAGTTCTTATTTTTTTTACTCAAAAAATAAATTGAAGCGATGAATTCATTTTCATCTTCTTGGTTCTTTCGGAAAAGTCACGTAGAAGGGAAATAATTAAATAATAAAAATAAGACAATTAAATAATTCTCGCGACGTTTCGGTGAGGACGGCTGCTTGCGTTGTAGCCGAAACGTCGTGAGAATAATTTTATTAAGTTATATTTTTATTATTTTATTATTTCCCTTCTACGTGACTTTACCGAAAGAACCAAGAAGATGAATCCCTGCAGTCACAAAAGCTTTAAATCGAAATTTAATTCATTTTCATTTCGCCTTTTTGTTTTTTTCTACCGAAAGAACCAAGAATATGAATTGCTGCAAGTCACGAAAGTTTGAAGTCAAAACTCAAGCACCACGTTCAGTCCATCACGTTGCCTTGAGGGGTAGGTGACGTTTCAGGCAATGGCCCTTCCTCAGAGGACAGATAGAGAGAGAGAGAGGGCCATTCTACTACCTCTATGGCCTTTCTTTCTCTGTGTGTGTGTGCTCTGAAGAAGGGCAATTACCCGAAACGTCGCCCGTTGTATCGTTTTCCTACTGCACACAACGGCGGCGGTGGTGGTGGTGTTGTCATTATTGACGGATGTGCTCAATTTGTTGTTGTTATTATTTTGTGCATCACCGCCAACGCTTGCAGCAGCAGCAGCATCGCCGCCGCCGCCACCACCACCAGCTATATAATGTGCAGTGCGTGTGTGCGCGTGATTTCTCACGGTTGCCGCTGGGCTTCAAAACGCGATTTGAATTCTGACGGTATGGACGGGCTCGCTCCGTCGATGCTCATAATGTGCTGTTACGGATGCAGGAAAGTTGTTTTCGAACGCTGGCAGACTTCGTTTTTTTTTTACTTTGAATATCTTATATTTTTTGCTCGCACGAAGCCAGAGCCTAACTCGATTTGCGATAGCCCCACGCCGGGAGATGGCCCTACACGTGGGTGTCGTCGTTGCATCGCGCGCTTATTTCGTCGCGAGATTCCAATGGTGACAAATTTCATCTCGGAGAAGGAAAGTGGAAAAAAAACGAAAATATCGAGAAATTATGCCACGGTGGCTAGGAGATGTTGACTACCTCGCCCGGTGTACGGGAGGTCGCCGTGGGTTCGATCCCGACCCCCGACGCCTGCTGCTGTGTATTTGGAGTTTGCATCTCTCTCTCTCATCATCATCACGGTGGCTAGGAGATGTTGACTACCTCGCCCGGTGTACGGGAGGTCGCCGTGGGTTCGATCCCGACCCCCGACGCCTGCTGCTGTGTATTTGGAGTTTGCATCTCTCTCTCTCATCATCATCACGGTGGCTAGGAGATGTTGACTACCTCGCCCGGTGTACGGGAGGTCGCCGTGGGTTCGATCCCGACCCCCGACGCCTGCTGCTGTGTATTTGGAGTTTGCATCTCTCTCTCTCATCATCATCACGGTGGCTAGGAGATGTTGACTACCTCGCCCGGTGTACGGGAGGTCGCCGTGGGTTCGATCCCGACCCCCGACGCCTGCTGCTGTGTATTTGGAGTTTGCATCTCTCTCTCTCATCATCATCACGGTGGCTAGGAGATGTTGACTACCTCGCCCGGTGTACGGGAGGTCGCCGTGGGTTCGATCCCGACCCCCGACGCCTGCTGCTGTGTATTTGGAGTTTGCATCTCTCTCTCTCATCATCATCACGGTGGCTAGGAGATGTTGACTACCTCGCCCGGTGTACGGGAGGTCGCCGTGGGTTCGATCCCGACCCCCGACGCCTGCTGCTGTGTATTTGGAGTTTGCATCTCTCTCTCTCATCATCATCACGGTGGCTATGAGATGTTAACTACCTCGCCCGGTGTACGGGAGGTCGTCGTAGGTTCGATCCCGACCCCCGACGCCTGCCTGCTGTGTATTTGGAGTTTGCGTCTCTCTCTCTCATCATCATCACGGTGGCTATGAGATGTTTACCACCTCGCCTGGTATACAGGAGGTCGTGGGTTCGATCCCGACCCTGACGCCTGCTGCTGTATATTTGGAATTTGCGTGTCTCTCTCATCATCATCATCACGGTGGCTAGGAGATGTT